ATTAGTTTAAAGAGCGCGTATTCAATAAACATTTATTTTATCATTTAAACACACAAATATGGTTTTCAATATTCTGAATAGTATTATACATCAATTGCAGCATGCATAATTCTTGCTCGTTCAATTTGCTTATAAAAGCATAAAATCCGCGATCTACATATGTGTACATATTAATAACGGAAGTATACATATAATGTTCTATAGATCTCGAAATTAATTGCAGTGGTAAAACGATTTCGAGCATTCAGAAATTGTGAATGGAGCCGAGAATAAAATTTGTAAGATTGAAATAAATTATAGAGCCACTTTTCTCAGCCTGTTAGGTCAACCCAGATCTTTACCTGTTCGATAACGTGCTCGTAGGAGGGAGGCGGGGAGCTCGGTATGGCTTGTTCGTTCTTAACCATCAGGCTGTTGGAATCGAATATCGACAACTTTAAATTGGATTCAGTTTCGGCGGTCAATTGCAGCCGATTCATCGGTAGCTGAACGTTTTGCCCCCTGGCGTTATCCTCTTCCTCTTCCTCTATCCGCTCTTCCCTCTCCGCCCGCGCGTTCCCGTCATCCTCTGTCTCGCTGTACTTGTGCCCGTGCTTCTCCTTGTCCACTTCCACGTCTGCGTCCTTGTCTTTGTCCTTCTCCCGGTCCTTTTCGTCACTGCTGCGCGACTTGGACATCTTCGAGAAGGGAAACTTGAACGGCGCCAGTTTGACTGCTTCTTCTTCCACTTTTACTACTCTTCTACGATCGCGAGATATATTCGCTCCAAGCTAAGGGAATTTTAAAACGATAGTCAACTTCCGAAAAGTTTCAAGATTGGTTGCAACTACGAAAGAAAATTCTCGCATTGTTCTTTTTCGACGATCTCCATCTAACTTGAATTTCCAATGTTTAAAAGATATCCGACCTTCGATAGGACGTACAGAGCGAAGTTAAACTGAAGGTTGCGTTTAATTTTGGTACATTTCGAGAATCGGTGTTTCAGAAACGTTTCGACAGGAGAAGGCATCGACGACAAAAAGGAAGAATCACGAAGACCAGAACCTCTCGCACTTGTTCCGTCGTTTCTATCACGTGGCAACTTCGTTACATCGCCGGATCCTCGAGTGATTCTCGTTCATGCTACGCGACGCGGATTTATCGAGGACGGACCCGGGAAAGATGGAGCAGCGGAAAGAAAAGCAGAGGCAGCAAAAACACGCGCCGAAAAAAAAAGATAAATAACGACGCGGAGAGAGAAAAAAAATGAGGAACCAGGAAAAACAAGTACAGTGGAGCGGAACATCAGGGGTGGTTCGGGGCGTTGAGGACGTTGGTCGTGTTCTCCGTACAAGTGCGCTGGTTGCATCTGTCGTTGACCTACTAGCCGAGTTTCCTCGTTTATCGGGTCGACCTGGCGCACGTTGCGGTCGACTTTAAAGCCGTTGACTCCTTCGGAGAGAACTTAAGCCTTGGGTTAGCGAATTCGATGGTTCCTGATAGAAATTAGCGTAATAAGGATAGTACAGCCGGAAATCAATATAGTTGAAGTAGGACAAGATATATATTACAGCAGGAGGTGAAATGCATGCATGATATAATATTTCCTACGATTTTGACAAATTAAAAATAACATGCTTTCGTTCCCTCATTACTTCCCTACTTTAGATTACATAAGCGCAAGATTTACGCACGTCGTAAGAAGTATCAAATAAATATATTGTGAAGCTTCTTTCTCGGCGGAAGATCGAAGCCCGTGCACGAGGAACGCAAGAAAGAATCCAATCTCCCTTCGAACAGTGTCACCGAGATGATTCCACACCTCTGGGTTATTTCCTAACGTGACTCGATTCGCCATTTCATGAAATGGAAATTCTTTCAACGGGGAATACACTTCGCCGTCGGTGTCAGCTTCGGTGACGGTGAAACGGTTTTCAAACCGGAAGCGTCAGTCAACGTTCGGCGAACGAGAGAGCGTGGCAGTTTTAATTCGACTCGCGTCACTTTCGAAATTCTCTGTCAAAACGCTCAAGGGTGTACATAGCGTTCCTTTATCGATGTGGTCTCGTTCCTTTTTATGATTCAACGTTGACCGAACGAGCTGGGAAAAGCGTTTAATAAATCATCGTCGACGCGATTGAGAAGCCCACGTTGCGTGGGCGGAACCGTAACGTAAACGCGAGTAGAACGCGAAACGACGACCTTGTTCCTACACTGCAATCTACGATGGAGATTTTAATGGCGGAGAGTACCGGAGTTTAGAAACTTTGCTTTAGTTAAGAACACCGACTTTGCTCCGTGATAAATGAGCGAAGTTAAAAATAATTGTCTTAACTTAAACGTTGAACGTTATTTAGGTCAAAAGATAAGTTTCGTAAGAATAAATTAATTAAATGATAATTACTCTGATTAGAGTAGCATCAGCATTTCGATTCGTCTTACGACAGAACTGATGCGAGTCTCGTGATTGTTTGACTGATGAAAGGACGAAGCAGCTGATAAGTAGAACAGGTTGCTACATAGTCAGACATGTTCTGTAATATCACGTCTTTCCTTGATCGTTAAAAGTGAAGCAATGCTCGTTCTGAGATCGATTCACAGCTTGCTAACAACCGTGGAACAGCGAGAAGATTCTATTGTTCACGTTTAAACAAACAGAATATGTATTGGTGTATACGTGTAAACCGTGAAGAACGAAATTACGCGTCATCGGATAAATAGAACGAAACTGTGAACAGACATGCAAACCGCGATCCTGGAGGCTTTCCTCGGGGCAATATTAGTGTTTAGCAAGTCAAGTGTTTGCAAATTTTATTTAGATTAGACTTACACACACGTTAACAGTAACAGTAGAATTATTTCAACTAACAGAATTCATCGTATTGAACGTCTGTTAAATTGCTAGAACGAATTCGTTATTCAAATGTACAATTCGAATGTTAATCGCTTGTGGCTCATCAAACAAATTTGTTCCCTAATTAATTTATACATATAATGGACGTTTCATTATATATTCTAATGGTGTTATTTGAACGCTGAGAAATGTTTGGTAAATTGAATCGATCGTATTGTCGAGATTAAGTAGAAGCAAAACTTTCACTGAAACTTCGGTCTCGAGCTTGTCTGAGTATAAGACGAGTCAACAGGAACGAGCAATCGTACGAGTTTAATCCCGCGACATAATGGCCGGGAAGTTTACAATCCGAGGAAGTCTCGTCGAGCTCGAATTGGAGCGAGGACACTCGCATGGACATCTGAATGTCTTCACAGAAGCACAGCAGAATACAAGAGGGTAGGGGGGAAGGTAAAAAAAAAAAGAGAAACGAACCGGAACTCTCGGCAATTGTATCACGGATACTGTGTCACACTTCGTGAGCGATACGACCATCCTAGTTGAGACTTTATTTTGCATCCGGTTTCTGAACCGGGATTTCAATCTTCCCCGTGTCCCTGTTTCTTACTGGAAGCGTTGCCTTCAGCTTCGTTCAGGAGAAGAGATAATTACCGCAGAGTTGTAAAAAATGTAGAAAAAAATTTTAACAAAATACCTGGAATTGTAAAAGTTCTTACATTTCTATAGTTTTCACTTTCAACTATTTTCAATTATTTTCTTATAAAAATTTCCGTAATTCTCTTGCAAATCCGTTCAATGGAGCAAATTCAATTAAGAGAACGGATCGAGGTTAATTACGAAATTATAAGGGAGATGAAATTTGGAATAGCGGTTGCCGTTAGATTCCGCCATTTGGGAAAAGATTTCTCGTTGGGATCGTCGAAGGAGCGTCAGAGAATTACACGGTTCGAGAAGCGACGCGAGGTAGATACGGGTCGTCGAAATAAGACGACCACTCGACGGGTTCACGCGAGGGGAACGGACCAAGTAGCTGGTAAAGTAGGTTGCACCCCGCGTAAACCGGTGGGCGGGGGTGGAAATCGCAACGGATTCATTGGCCGTACACCCCTTCGATAGAAGTGGACGGTCTTATGTCAGTGGCCTCAGCTAGTGCACCGTTCATCCTGGGCTCTCGCACCTTTCGTCCTAGTTTCGCCTGCCGCTGCCACTCTTTCGCGTTCCGCATCATCCCTTCTCGCTTCCCCTCTCCCCACGTTTGCCCCATTCTCAACGACTGCCTCTTTAGATGTTCATCCGACTCGCACGCTCCTTCCTCTCTTCTGCGTCTGGGATCCACCCTTGCCTTCTTTTCAATCTCTACCTGGCTACACACGTCCGTTTTCACTCAATACGTAGCCTTGCGCGTGTATAAGATACGCGTGCAACAATGATGATACGCAACGGTGATACGATACAAGTGGATGCGCTTTTTATTCCTGTCTTCTCTCCGTTGTACGTCTCTTTCATAGTGCTGGAGACTGTTGGTAGTTGGGTTCGAAGCGGAAATGGAAATTCCGATTCCGGTTTTACTTCAGGAAATATTTACGCAGTAGAGAAAATTCGGATTTAACGTACGCGACCTCGCGTCGTGAATATTTTAGCTGGTTGCCGAAGAGGAATAAAACGACGTTTGTTTATGGTTCGTTTCGAATTTCAACCTCAACGAACCTCTACTTTACCTCAATAACCATAGTCGTTTGAGCACTATCAGTTTTTATGCTCCTCGAGATTCTCGAGTGAACACCTCCAGTGTCTCGTTAATGTTCCTCCCTCTCCTTACTTCTTCCTCGACTGTGTGAATCATTGTTTCTCAAGATAAAAAGCTGCAAAGCATACTTTCCTGTTCTCAGTAAATATTCTTTATTAAAATTCTTTCTCTTATCGTTTGAACACTTAACGATTCTCTTATTTTTGATGCATCATCTTGGAGAAGTTTCGCAGAAGTGAGACTAGACCTGGGCGAGGCATTGTCTCCGCAATAACGAAGAGCACGGCTCTGTGTCCTTTCAAGCAACAAGAAGTTCGACCCGCCATTGTGGCGTCTTTTCACAGAAGTTCGACGAGAACAAGGGATTGGCGGCGTCTATCTGTAATGCTAAGCCCCCCCTAGGTGACGCGACGAGGGGTAATCTCGCCGCCTTCCCAAGCGAGAGTTCCAACCTTGTTCAAACATCAGCTGGGAATCTCTGTCGGGAACGACGAGAAGGGAGAGAATTTCGCGGACGATTTCAACGTTTCGCAAGTTTCCGGCGCCACGCGGCTCGGCGCGTTGAATCGTTTAATCGTTCAACAGCGAAGTGTCGTTGGAACTGTTATTAAACCCTTTCTTCCAACATTAATTGCCCTTCGCGCGACAGTCGACGACGAAATAATTGCAAAACGGTTTTCAATATCGTCGACTTTTTCTATGCAATCTTCAAAAGTAATTTGTTCCTTTCGTAATTTCTTTCACAAATGTCAAGGATGTAATAGTAATCTAATTCTCATTTGATAGCCTGAGTCACGAAAATATTCCGTAAAAGTTATTTTGAAGAAAACAGACAATTTTATAATGTTGCATTTATTCATTAATACGGAATGATATACTTCAGTTTTATCCGAGATGAGTTTACGGTTCATGATTTTGAATTATCTCTGAACTCTCTTGTTTTATCTCGACAATTCCTCGTTATGTTATACGGATTTGCTCATATATAAATGTTGCCTCTTAATTAGTATAATGGAGGTTCTATTGTATTTGATAAATTTGCAGTTGATCATAAATACGTTAATAGTCGACTGCGAAAATTTTCCAACTGCTTTTCACTGGAAGATTCACCGTGCCGGCGAAAAGGGAACGATCAACCGTTGTTTGGAAATATTTGGGTCACCGTCTGTGCAGTATTTTTCCTGCAGGCCGCGTTAATAACGGAAAGCGGCGCGAGAAATTCGTCGGTGAAAATTTTTAAGCGCTCCCTTCAAGCGAAATTTTCTTTTTCTCTTCGAGAGCGGGAGTGGTTGTCGCATCCAACGACGTATCCGGCCCGGTATTCAACGGATGGAACAATGAGGCCTCGTCGAGTTTACATCGTGTTCGTACGAGGCAGTAGACATTTTTAAAGCAGCTCCTTTCTCCAGGCATTTTTCGAAAATGTTGCCTTTTCACTGTGCGCCGCATTATTTTTGATGGAGTCTGTGAGATCTTGTAAACAGTTTGGTAAAGATACTCGGAAATGTTCCAGGTTCGGCAAGAAATTTCTCCTTAACCTCGTTCTGCAAAAACTAGCATCCCCCGTTGCGGCTACGTCCGCGAGTTTCCATTTCAGTATTGAATATACAAATATAAAAAGTATTTATTCTTCAAGATTTTTTTTTAAAGATTGTGTAACATTTTCATGAAATGTTACGATAAGAGGTGTAAATGTGTATCATATACTAATTACATTAACGTTATGTATATAAAGAGAGATGTTCTTTGGTGAATACCGGGAGCTCGAAAGGGCTCGTGACAGATAAGAGAAATAAATATCTTACGCAATGTTCGCGTAAAGGACACGGGTTAAAAATGTATATAGGCGGTCGTAATAAGTACGAGGGACGGTGAGCGAACCGATAAAGACGATCTAGCGTCTCCTCGAAACCGTAAAAGACGACTTTTATGAGCGTCGATCGGCATCAAATCTTCGCCCAGGAAATTTCTGTCCACGGGAGAATGAACGATGCCATTTACTTTACCCTCGAGTTATCAAACAGCAATAAGGAAGATCGGAGGAAAACCATTTTTTGTTGGAAAACAATACTTCATCACGCTTTTTTCAATTAATCTTTAAATGTTGCTATAAAACAAATTATTATTGGTATCATAATTCATATTTCCTTGCCTCAGAAATAAAGGAATTAATTAAAAAATATAACGGTGTATCATGTACGTTAACAGAATTCAAGTGTTTTTATGGTATTTCCGTCCTCAAGTAAATCTGAGGAGCAATAGAATCCGGTTGTTTCATGATAATTTAGAACACGAGATCTCGTTCCATGTGAAGCCCAAAATTTAACAAGGAAAATGCGATCGATAGGTATAAACTTTCAGCCGAGGTACGTTTACCGTTTTGATACCCGATATTTTAAGGACACGCGGGAGGGAAAGACGCCTGACGAGAGAGAAAAGAACAGCCAAATTTCTCGAACTCGGTAGAGCTTGACTGAAAAAGTTCGGAGAGCATCAATCTCGCCAGGAATAGTACATTCGGCTCGGATTCGCGTCGATGAGTAGTAATCCTAAACCGCCAAACAAACTTCTGACTCGTGTCGGTTTCCAGCCACTCCTATTTTTTCTCCTCGTCGAATGAAATAGACAGTTAAAAGCACTAGTGATCAGAATTCTCTCTTTGAGAATGCGAAACTTGTTCTCGATGCTTTTAATCAGTCTAAATAGCGTATGTACAGAGTTTCATCGAAATCGGTTAATATAACGTTCCCGGCGATAATATCATAACCCGTAGAAACCTTTTTGCTAAAAACTGCTGTTGCAGTTACATTAAATTTTGTAACTACATGAATAAACCTGTTACAAATTCCAAAATCCACTTTCATTCATCGGCACGAATTTAGCGAACGATAATTCTCCGGGGCGTACGACTGGGACCCGCGAGTGATGGACGGTCACGTGAAAATTGCATTACAAGTCGTAATTTGGAAGCGGTGGAGGCGACTCGTCGAGTCGCGTGCACCTGTTGATAGACGCAGTCGACAGAGAGAGAAAGAGAGAGAGGCTAGAACGGGATTAAAGCGATTCGTCGCTCGTCAAAGAGCTTTCCACGCTGGAACGAGCGCCGATCGCGTGAAATGTCAAATGTGAACGCGCGCGAGTAGCACCGGTACGAGTACCCGTACGTCCCGGCGTCCCATTTAACACTGACTCGGACTACTTGCACGTCTCGTCGCCGCTCGATTTCCATTCGAATTTCTCATTCAAACGGCTTATCCGTATCGTTTCTGATATTGTGCTCCTTTCATGTTTTTTCTACAGTGCCCTGAACTCATTTCGTGTTGCTATTGGTTGAGCAGTACGAATAAGAATAATCGAGAAAGGATAAAATATAAAATAAGAATAATTAACAAAGAAAATATTGAGCTGTTTATTATAAAAATAAAACAATTCCATTATGTCATACTATGAAAAAATTCTAGGAATTCGGACAGAACGCGTACATCACGCACTCAGGCAATTACTATTTATTTCGCGGGAATGCCTGTTCTGATTCAGCGGCAGAGGTACGTGTCAAAGCAGGTCACCAGATAGAATTACATTAGCGATGCTAATTGAACGCGCGCGGTACCATCTAATTAACAATGAAATTAACAGTTTCGATGTACCATGAGCTTGGTCTCTTCAGGGTAACGGGGTTAAGAATATTTTTAATGTATACCGGGCGTAACATTCTGCGGAGGGCAATATATTCTCGTAACGAATGCGTATGACGACTTGCCAGTATACACGAGCCTTAGACAGAGAGAATCGTGGAAAAATACAAGAAGACGAGAGCAAATGTTCGTTCCCTTATGTACTGTCACGTTAACAGCGGAAAAGTACTGAAGCAGGGAAGATAGCAGACCGTGAAGGACTCCGGAAATCGTTCTCGCTTTCCCTTTCTCCTTGAGTCAGCGGGAAAAAAGTCAACGACGTAGAAACAGTTAAACGGAGTTCGCGGAGGTGGGCGACGGACTGGGGGAGGGTTACTCGCCCGAAACGAGGGTCTCTAGGTTACAGATAGAAATACTTACACGTGCCGCGTAAAAGTAGTAGGGTTAAATACCCGTGTATTGAACGAAACAGTAAAACAGTTATTAACTTTGCTGTTCGATAACAATTAAGATAGGGAATCAATACTTTTTGTAATGAAAATAATTCTGAAGGATAGGCTTTTGCGAAGGGAAAGTCGATTTCAGTTACCGAATTATTGTTAGCATAATATTATCTCGTTCAGGTACCTTGTTCAGTACTCATAAATAGGATGCAGGATAATCTCTAGTTACGCAATGAATAAATGATAACGTTGCTAAAACTTCCGTTATTCCGTATTCCAACTATGAGTAATTATAAACACGAACTGCGAACGCTTTCAAAAGTTTCTTCGTGCACCGCAATAAACTCGTTGAAGTTTATTTTTATTCATAAGCTGCTCAATACTCGAGGAAATTGAAATAATATAGAGCGACGTTGATGGAAAATTTGGAAGGTGAAAGCCGATCGAGTGTATCGTTAACCATCGGTTCTATTGATCGCCGATGTCAACGCGCACCACCGTACGGAGGGTGTACGCGCGAGAGGGGTGCGTTCCTTTAACCGGAATAAAAAGCACGTAGATCGAAACGTTTCGCGCACCGTTTTTCCGAGAATCAAATGGGATAATAGAAACGATTGAAGTACTCACGAGATCCGGGTTGCAGTCGGCTTGAACGATCGGACCGTTTTGTTTCCACGAAATCCAGCGGGTCAACTTAAGGGAGACTTGCACGGGGTGTCGGTTGTTAGACGGCCATGTTGCTGAAAATTCACCGCCCTCTAGTCGCGTCTCGGCGAACCACCCGCGATATCACCCCTTCTTTCACCCCTTGTTATTTCCTTATACCCTTTTTGCTTTTCTGCCCTCGCGCGCCCCGAGTTTGCCTTAGCTCAGCCAGTACGTTTTATTTGTGACAAAAAGTTCGTAGCTCGAGGAGTTCTTTGGGACACTCTGTTTCGGTAATTCGAATGATTTGTGGAGGAGTAATTCAAAGTAGAACGGAGCAGGAGTTGCTTTCTCAAACATAACTGATACCATGTACAATTTGCATTTGAAATTACAAATAGCTCCGTCATATTTCTCTTGTTAAAGAGAAACAAGACCCGAGTTCTCGATGGTCTGATTATACTATAATACATTGACTCATATTGTTATTTGCGTAAAAGATACCCTCAAGGATAATTCTGTTGCTTCGTTCCTTTCTCCACTCGCTGTATTCTATTGCTCGCGAGTATTTTAGAACGAGTCATACCAATCGATGAATGCCCGCCTTTTAATTAAGAAGCTGGCGCGCGTTCCAATTAAAAAGTACCCCACGTTGCTTATTCAGAGAGTTGATTAATGGCTGGACACGAAGCCTATTTCCGTGTCCGCAACGTCTCTTAAGATTCATAAACGACCTCGAATTGCAATATACTTACTTCTTTGATCTGTTTCTGACTCTCGTTAGACATACGCGAACTGGCCTTGCGAAAAATAAAACGTTTTCCTTCGATGTCCTTGTCATATTTTTAATTTTCGAATTTTGGACGAAAGAGATTTATTTCAGAAACTTCAAACGAAACTCGACCTCTTTTCAAATTTCGCTTTAAAATCACACCTATTTACTCGTATCTCTTTTCACAGAGAAAATCGAAGTTCCATTCTCATCCTTGTTGTCGGTGCCCGTTGTTTCAGTGAAAAAATAAGTCTGTTGTGTTGGACGTCGGTCCGTTGGGACGATCACATCGATTCTACTGAATCAATTTTTTGTCGATCAAAACTAGTAACCTTTTTCCTCTTTGATGCTTCGCTCACAAGTAAAACACAATTTTTGTACCGAAATTGGAAAACTATTTTATTCTCTTTTACAACTCATCGCTCACTCAATTTGTTCTCACATTCTTGGTTTATCAACGTTCATCGAGTCTGAGCACAAATAAAACAAAGAGAGTGATGAATCACGACGACGGAAATAATAGTTTCTAGATTTATCAAATTCACGAAAGAAATTCAATAAGCTAGTGCTTGTCAATAAAAATTCGTTCAATCCCATCCGGAAACGAAAAGAGAAAGAGATAGGGACAGTTAGATAGAGAGATGCAGATAGGGATAGATAGACGGATAGATACGTGAAGAGAGAAAGAGAGAAAAACGATTGTCCGGGGTTCTAACAAACTATCAATCAGCATCTGTACACTGCGCAATAAAGAAGCGACGGCAAAATCTTCCTAAGCTGTGCACTGCGTACTATACCACCCTCGCACAGAAATAAACTCTATAGGACCCCAAACTCTGAATGCGAGCAGGAAACAGGGAAAGCCTCTTTCCAACCCACACACGCGCGTATCTAAGCGAAAAAGACATTTTAACGTGCGTCACGGGTCAGTCCTAGATGTAAAATAGTTTTCGATCAGACACGGTACCATTTTTGTACTGTATCCTACAGAAGGAAATAAATTCTACATACTACGTGTAAGCATTTATTTATATACATATATTTACATACAGTATTGTAATAAAAAAATATATATAAGAGATCATTCACTTAACAGCTGTTCAGAATAATAGAATGTTCGCATACCGAAGCTTCTAGTGTACTTTCTAGGACCTCGTCGATGACACGCTCGTCCATGAGTGAGCGAAGAGACGTGAGGAACCTTAAAGCACAAAATGTCAGATAATATTTTTATGCATTTTATATAAAAATAAAATAATAAATAATAATTATTCTGTTACAATTTTTTAGGTAAAGTTACTTGGCGTTTTTAGCTTGAATTAATAATGAAATAGCCAGAATTAATTATTTTAAACGCAAAAAATTATTGCCATCGTTACTTTTTAATGAAAAGAGAGACAGACATTTGACTAAACACAATTATAACTCAGATACCGAGTGCCTTTTATTTAATTAATACGAAATTGCTGTTCTTTTGTGTCGAACTAATTTCCCTTTTATCGCTTCGACGAGATCTGCGGATTTTTAGTTTCACAGACCAGGCGCGGTATGCGAAAAGGTCAATGGGCCGGCTGGCTGGGTTCGAGAGGATGGAAATGTAGGGCAACGTCGGGTTACCGGGGGTGTGTACCTAATTTATACATTAATTCCGAGGGTAATCGAGCAGGTGGCTCGAGAAACGCGACTGGTTCGTGTTGTGAGTATCCGTGATCGAAATTACCTGATTCTGTTCATTTTAACCCATGTCATGAGAACGTTTCAGTGACACGATGAGTCAGGTTTTATCTTTATCGTCTCTTGTTTTAGGTAACTTTCCAACGTAATAAACAATTAATTAATATTGATTTCTCATATACAGTATTTAATTACCTCGCTTATCATAGAATATTTGGAATATTTATGGGTGTAGTTACACAATTAACCAAATAATTAATACGAAATATTTGCTTCATGTATGTATAAAATATATTTTCGAACTTGATAATTTCGTGGAAAATTCATGGCTGTACATAAATTCGGTCGCCAATTTGCATAGTCATTCTGCCTCATCGAGTCGAATAAAAATCAGCCATCGTCTTATGTCCACGAGCAGCGAACCGTGAACCGAAATGCGTACTTCAATTTCCACGACGCGACCATTTGTCATTCCATAACTTAAAAAAATTTCCAACCTCTATTCACGAAATAGCTGGACAGCTTCCAAATTGAGGAAAGATTCACGGGGTCGCGAGGTACCTGTTCGAGGGGCCGAGTCTTCATCGCGGACAAAGGGTGTTCGAGCACCCTTTGCGTTCTCCAGCCTAGCACTCTCCTCCAGGCCGTGGTCCTCTCAAAAGGGATGGAAGCGTCATCTCGAAAGCCGATCGCGCTACTTGGAAGTCTATCGGTTCTCCTTCAGCCTCCGCTTCCCTCATTAAAAATTCACGCGACGCTCTGAGTACCGCATGAGCTTTTAATCAATCGGCCGCATAAGCGTTTCCCCTTTCTTCCTCGAGAAGTCGCAGTCAGTTGTTCTTAAGCTCTTCTGTCTCTCTATTATCGAGTCTGTCTTTGTTCGACGATGAATCTGTAACATAAAATAATACAGAAAAATATTATTACACGTAATTAATGTGATTAGAGTTTCACTGACATTACGTGGGGATTTTTTAAATTTACCAAATGAAATTGAGAACTGAATTCGCTTCAGTTAATTACCATAAATCCTGGGAAGTTTAGAGCGTAGCGGATTCAGGTGGATCGTCGTTGTAACCGAATCATTAAAGGATACAAATATAGATCCTGAGGGAGTTCAGTTTCGATATTCGCAGATGTTCTCGCGTAATGGTGATCATGTTCCCAGCACACATTGTGCCTTGCTGGCGAACTTCATAAGCCGATACTGGCGACTTCCGTCGCGATAGAATCGTTGCAATATGTGCGCCGTAGTCAGTAAATCGATGTTATATACACACCGCGTATCTCTCCTTTTCCCGATGCTATCAATGTTTCTTTCATTTTCCGTAATTTCTCTTCTGCCTTATCTTCCTTGACTGTACCATTATTTTCTACTTAATCTCAGAAAAAAAAAGAGTAATTTTCTTCTCTTTTGCTGTTTTATAACAGGAGCCGTGACATTTAATAGTAATAATGCAAAATTACTTCCGCGACGAAATTTCTTTATTAGAGCCTTCATTAACCTCAGTCTCAACCTCATTTATCTCCATTCCTGAATCTCTCTTTTTTCCACATGTCAACATCTTTGCTTGCTCAATTTCAAGCCATACTACTTTAGCTTAAATTAAAGCTTTTTCTTTCAAACTTTTATACTAAATATATAATATTCGCAACATTCTAAATACATACTTCATAATAGTATATCTCTACTTTTTAATTAACAGAGTATATTAACAGAGTATAATATAATTGATTATAAAACATGTTATACATCAATCGAATGTTTTTATCAAATAATATTTCAAATTCAAAATGACGTAAACGACAAATTTTAAAATTGAGCATGCAAATAATGGAAGAGCTGCATGTGACGCATAAAATTATAAAAAATGATTGTGTATAGTGATACGTAAAAGATAAATAGAATTTCTATTTGCAATGCATTCTTTTAACCGATTACCATAAACGTTTTAATTTGCATGAAAATCCGCAGACGAGATATTACATTTGCATGGACTATTGTAGGGCATCAAGTTTTTTGCAGGGAAACCTTATAAATTGTTCATTAATCACTGTTTCGCTCTGGCCCTAGTCTCGGCCGCCTCTTACCCACGTTTTCTATCGCGCCCGTCGCGTCATTCCGTCCCGTTTTAACCCTTCTTCACCCGTGCTCCGTTGCACCGCCACCCCCCACGCTGGGGTTTCAACGGGATCGCGCCGGCCCGAAAGCTCGTTCGAGTCAAGCTCCGACACGGTTCAGCCGAGTTCAGTCGCGCCACTCATTGTCAGCCGTACGGTGTTCACGTGCCAGCCACAATCGCTCGTATACGCTGTCACGTTATTTCGTCGTCGGCAACGGTGGATAAATCGTTCCGTGAGAGGAAAACGGAGGCGGCGGAGGTGGAGGAGGAGGAGCAGACGCAGGCCAGGTGGATCGAACACGTTCCATGTTCTCGATCGCACGGGCCCCTCACGATCGCAAGGTTAGATCCTATAGATCGCGAGCTCCGTTTTTGTTTTTACCGCTCCCGGTCACGCGTACTCCTGTGCTTCGAACAGTGCGACACAGTGTTCTCGCACTCGTTTATTAAGTAGAGGTGGCTCACGAGCGCGCGTATACGTTGATTATTTATCGGTCGTGAATTAATAATTCGCTACGTACGCGAGATCGAATGAAAGATCGTGAGACCGAAGCGATTTGGTCTAGGAGTACACGAATCATTTGCTTGATAGTGTGAGTCACTGTGTATTTCGTAATTGAATCGGTGAGCACAGAAACAGTGCTACCTTGTAATTAATTATCAGTAAAACGAAGTTCAAAGAAAAAATTTTCCTTAGAGTGAAAAAAGCTGAGCTTCGTTGTTTTTATTCTCACCGATTTAATTACATTTGTGTTTTGGTCGTCTTTTAATCTCTTCATGTTGCAAATTCACTGTTTCGTAAGGGAAAGTGGCTAGACTAATTTGGCTTCTGATTTTTCCTACGCGAACGCGATTGGAAATTGTTTATTCGGGGGTTAATTTAATTCGATTCATATGGGCTCGATGAAAGAGCGTAAATTGTGATCTCTCGCAGATTTGGAGGGAAAATTGATTTTCCACCTCTGCGAGTGAAGCACGGATTCGAATCCCCGCCGACCTCTTTTTTTTCCCTCGCGTGGAATCAATTAAAAATCATTTAGCCGAATGGTATAGTTACTAATTGATATAACCACGTCAAGACCCAGCAAATTTTCCTCTTCGTACGGAGCTATCGGATTTAATTATTCAACGATGCACAAAATAGGATTATTTCATTTTTTTTATTTATAAATAATTCTTTAATAATTCCTATCACGTTTCAAAAATATTATTTAGTAATCTCGGGGAAAAATTGTTCTGCGTTTCATCACCCAAAAATAGATTTGAATATATTCACGTTTCAGAATTTACAATTTCCTCTTGGCCTCGTTTCGCGGGTCACGCTTCCCATCATTTTGTATAATGTTAATTAATCTTTGAGAGGATACACGCTAACTTGAATTAATACCACGGCGCTATTCGTAAGTACAGAGTGCAAAACTTTGCTAGAGCCTACACTCGCTGCTTTTGAAGTCTCCTTCGTTAGCACTCCGCGCTCCGCGCACCGCACCGTCTCGACGTTTGAGACCGCACCAGCTCGATATGTTTCTAACGATAAATATAATTGAAAATGTTTTGAAACGCCGTACCTCAGACTCAGATTCGTACAATTATTTTCGTTCGTCTCGCGTTAGATGAAAAATGTTGAAGGATTCGAGGAAAGAAATAAACTTCATACTTTATGAGATCTTGGAGACCAAAAGTTCGAATTTTATTTAGGAAGTTATATGAGATAGCAAGAAAAATAGTAAAGGCAATTCGTAAAATAACACATGTGCTTTTTTAGTATTTCACTTCGAATTTCTGATGAGTCGAGTATAGTTCTATTTAATTTTTACTGTCTTCAGGACTTTTATATTTCTCATATTCTTTATCCTGCACGCTTAAGGTACATTTGGTACGTGAAAAATGAGATTAAAAGGGATGAGTTCTACTAAAGAAAATTTCTGATTTGACCCTTAGAGTGTTAACAGCGAGACGTTGAAAAAAGGGGAGAAAAATTAGGTACTCCGTGAACATGATTGAAACATATTCGATGAAACATTACGGTGGTTCGATGCCTCTTTGGAGAATTGGCGTCGCACGGGGCGTGGTTCGGTTACGCCGACTCGAGCGGATTAGCAATTCGCCGGACTGATTAAGGAGAAAGGGGACAGGTTGCATGGTCGATGTGCAGAGCGTAGATTAAAAAGCGAAGTGGCAGTCGGCGCGCGGTTAAAAAGCGGTCTCTTAATTAATTAATCACGTCTCTCGAGACGCGCAGACAGCTTTCGCGCTTCCGGCGGATGATCGACGAAAGAGAGTTGCGTTTCATGCATAAAAAACTGTTTCGTCGCAGGTGGAAGTCAGGCTCGGTTCGAGTTTTCATCAGGGGACGACTTTAATTTCGGTCGCCAGTTAGCGCAGATGAACGACGGGCTTCTTTCAACGGTCGATCGAAAACTTTTTCATCGGGTCAGAATTCGGTTTCAATTGACTCTGCGTTTGGTCCACGGTTATTCGTTTCCTTTCGTCTTCGCGGTTGACGAGAAACCCGAGTTTATATGTCCGTCCAAGTACTTTCTATAGGAAAAACTAATAACTAGACTTATTGCACATTACGTACTATAAAAAATCTCGGACGACTTTTGTTTTATGTTCCAGTTGTTCGTAATAACATTTCTTTTATTTCCATCAGCAAAGAACATCAATATTTTTATTTGTTCTAAACAGAAAGTGTGGCGTAATTGTTTTTCATAGCTGTACACAGTAGCGCAGGCATAATGAGAACATAAATTAATCGAGACGACCCATAAAAAACAAATAATAATTTTTAATAGAAATACGTGCGGTAGAAATTACAGTTTTATTCAACTCGTTCTCTTCAAAATGAAAGCACAAAATATTCTAGGTCGTGTCGGTGAGGATGAACATATGAGATAACTGATTCCTCTTTGAATTTATTAAAAGATATTTAATTTCAATTTTGTATTTGATGCAGCTTACTGAATTAATATTAACTTATATTTGAACAAAAACTCTTAATATAATGAGTAAACGTTACGTCGTTTCAAATAATAATTCTTGGTGACCCTCTACGTGTATGAAACGTAATCGATTTGCAATATATGAAAATTTGAAAACAGCTTAACTTCAGTTTTAATTAATCGACACATGGAAATGTCCCTGTGTCACGATGGCGTATAACAATTTTCATCCACGAATAATTTTTTACAGCGAATTCTGTTTCTGTCTTCACTGAATCTACTGATCGTACGATCTTCGATTCGGCGACCTGGAAACGCAGCGGGCTCGTCGGAATTTCCATGGGTCGTGAAATACGCCGAATACTTCCGCAAGCATAATATGTTTTTCCACGGCTTAATTCCACTCTCCCGGGGGCTTTCGCCGCGGTTATATTTTTCCGCGAGAAAAAGCTTCCACGGATGCATTAAGCGCGGCCTCGTCCGATGAATTACGACGGGAGTAGGGCCCGGTGCTCGAGAAAACTCGTAATAAAAAGAAATAATTTCGCCTTCCTTCACGCGCGCGATTTATCCTGCTTTTTGGTACCCTACCGCTGCCTTAACATCGTACAAATTATGCATAATTTGGATTTAGAGCTCGACGAACGTTGCATTCATATCACGGCTAATTTTGATATAAATTGATTCGGCTCAGTTCGTACAAATTAATAGTTGCATCTATATATATAATTTTGATCATTTACAAGTTTAATCATGCGAAATACTTATTGATTCACGAAATTGATTTCGACTTGATTAATTAAACGGAAAATTAGTCAGAAAAACCTGTAGACTTTTGGATACACTGCGAGTCCGACGATTTGGAGTTGAAGCTATTTTTGAAAAGTGATCGGTACTGTTTCGGCAATAATATTCCGCAAGGATTTTTAATATGAGGGGAAAATGGTTTCGATGAAATTTCGTTTATTTCCATCGTGCTTCAAACGAAAGATGTTTATTTCTTTCATATCGGGAAAATTGATATTGACGTTTAGCTTTGAATCCGAACTTGAACAATACCGGCATTATTTATTCTACAGTATGAAATGCGATAAGAATCTTCAGTCGTTTTTATCATGATCGAAAGAGCTTGTATGCACTATCGCTGTATCAAATCGATGGGATGTTGAAAACTCTTTTCATTAAGATTTAAATACAGCTCTGGTTGTTTTTATTCAGCAAAACATTCATTGGTTAAATAACACCTGAGATGAAATCCCATCGCAACGGGATATTGTTTTGAAACACGCAGAACGTGTGCTAACTTCATTTGTAATATCCATTACAATGTTATTTCTAAACGTTCTAAACAATAACTCCTATCTATTATATAATATCACTTTAATACTACTGAAATATTTAATTCTACTTGTTTTATTGTTTTTGTTTCTAAAATAAGGAAATATATACTGGGGAGGGAGAAATTTCATTTTTCATCATTATTTCTTTTAATGGTAGCTTTTAGGGGATAATATGATCAGAACCGTTGGAAAGAAAATTTTGAGGATATGACGGGGACCGCAGCGTCAGTGAAAATGAGAACTGACGGCCGATCAGGGATCAAATGGAAATTAATACACTCGTATTCTACAGTAACGGATGACACGATTCTGTCAGTGAATACAAAGCTTAATAGTTACGATGGATGTTCTACGTCTACGTGTTTACGTCATCATCACGTCGATGCCACGTATTTGTCGCCAGTGTGCCGACAGCTTACAAGAAACAACGTTTGGACAACGCGATCGATTCTCTCAGAATTTTGGCTTCTATCCTCTCAAACGTCTCTTATCCGTAACAGAACAGATACCGAGAGCCTGAGGCAACGTCGATTCCTCGTCGAATTTTTATAATCGGAAACAACTTCATTCGATCATTTTCAACAACATAAATTAATTAATTATGCTTTCGTAACAAGACGATTTTCTACTTTTGAGAAAACAGTCAATCATTGCTTAGGAGACGACGACTATATGCATTACTCTAGTTATCGAAGATTTCTGTGCATTCACTATGAGACAGTGCTGACGGAATAAATAAATGGTTGCATTCTATCAGACAAAAATTTATCTTTCAAGGCTTCTGAAAGGAGCCGATAAATAAAAGATAATTCCAAATGGTATTTCATATCGTTTAAATGAACAATAGCTATTAAACGAGGATCGAGGAGCGTCCCGGGAGGGAATTGTATTGGTGAATGGAGAATCAAGCGAGACATGTAACAGCTCAGGAACGCTTTCGGAAAACAAGGAAGCACGAACGGATGATAATTGAGACGAAACGAATTCCTCACGGACGAGGAGAGCCGGGATCCGACCAACCGCGCAGTAGTACTTGAAAATTTCATCCCTGTGTCTC